AGTGAAAATCAAAGAGAAGAGAAAATCAAAAAGAAGGGGGGGGGGAGGAAGGCGGTGGAAAAGGGAAGAGGAGAGCTTGATTTCCTGTTGAATCGTAAGAATCTTAGTTACTCTAAGAAGCTTTTGCCACGCGAATCTTCCCTACAGGGAGTACAGAAACGTAACTGAAGACGATATATTGGTTGGCTTTGATATCCTCGAGTAATTGTGCGAGTATTCAAAGTCAAGATACTACTTCTTTTGTCTACGAGAACTGTGTTGCTACTGCGTTCCTCAAGACTCGAAACGTTCGGAAAATACACCTTTCCATGTTCGATGAACAGTTTGGAGAGATTTAAAAGTGAAGAAGCATCCTAGTAGATATCTCAAACCTGAACCGCGATTAATCCATTAATTTATCAATTTTCTTCAATTCCGTGAAATTTCGACAGAATTATAGAATCTATGAAAGACGAGAAAATATTAAGCAAATACTTCGCAGCTGCAATAGCAAGATACAAAATTTGACGATACAAATTGATCGAAAAAAAAAAGAAACAAAAAATTGCAAATGAAACGTTTTTTAGATTAACGCGTCCCCTTGAATAGATGGGAGTGCCTAGATTCGAAAAGAAATCAAACGAGAATGTATTGACTCGTGACATTGCCAAATTGGCTTTTCTTAACCTTTCGGTCGAGGGCGAGATAAACAATGATGATAGATCTTCAATTGAATCCATGCAACTTGACGATATTCATCCGTCCTTATCAAATTGATAAGCCGTTGCGTCGTTTGCCGCATTCTTCCGCAGTGATGGAAAACGTTCGATCGAATTTACATAATATGTTTGATCCGGCCGACGAGAAGCTTGTTTCAATGGCTGAAAGATTCAGAATGGAAGCAAAAGCTTCACACACAGCCTCGATAGTCTGACATCTGCCGATGTATTACGATATAATCAGCCCGAGTATTCTTTCCATTGAAAGGAGAAGGCGAAGGAGAAGAAGAAGAAGCATCGACGTCCGGCCAAAGATACGATATTAATGTCCACCTACGTTACCGTTTCGAAAGGTCAAGCAGGAAAGGACCTCAAACGCTTTGACGTGCCCGTCGACCAAAGTCGATTAACCTGTCCTGATTTTCTACGAATTTGTCGCACGTTCGATCGTGAACACGCGACACGATTTCTCTTCGAATTCAGACAAAATTCAGACTTGCGACAGAACGCACAGAAATCAGAAGAACAACTTAATCGGCAACTTGAGATATTATTACCAGACTACTAGGATTTTCGTATATCAATGAAAAATGTGCAGAAATATATAAAACACTCAAAGTACTATATAAAAACTTCTTGTAGTACTTAACAGGTGGAATAATTTTTTATCCAGTCTTCCAATCATAATCGCGAAAATATAAAATTGCGGTTCAGTTATCTTTTCGTTAAAAACAAGGTTCTTCGAGAGGGAAAATAAAAAAAAGATACGAGAGAGAGAGAGAGAGAGAGAGAGAGAAAATCAATAAATAGGACAATGTACGTATATGTGAGAACGGATGCTAACACAATGGCCTCTTTAAACTCTCCTTTCGCAGTCTGCGAAAGACGCGCGACCCTTAAATTGCATTTGAATAAAGCAATTTGTGCACGCAGCGTAATCCAATTCGGCCTCCTTGCTAGTTTTCGCTACGCGAAAGCACCGATAAATCAACCAGTTGCGCCGCGCATCGGGTCGAGCACACCCCAGCGATATAACCATATGGCTTAATTTCATTCGTTTCGCTCTGTAATTCCCACCTCCCGGGGAAA